CCCCCGGACTTCCTTGTGCCGGTTCCCCCCCCGGTAGACCCCCTCCCCCCTCAGGTTCCTGCCCCCTCAGGTGTGTCCCAGGTAGACGCCGTTGACCCGGTCGAGGTTACTGGTGACTCTGGTGCTGCTGCGGGTGCTGAGCCTGGGGGTGCTGACTCTGGGGGTGCTGTGCGCGGGGGTGCTGAGCCTGGGGGTGCTACTGCTGGGGGTGCTGGGCCTGAGGGTGCTACTGCGGAGGGTGCGGAGCCTGGGGGTGCTGAGCCGGGGGGTGCTGTGCCTGGAGGTGCTGGGTCTAGGGGTGCTGGGTCGGGAGCTGCTGAGCCTGGGGGTGCTGAGCTGGGAGCTGCTGAGCCTGGGGGTGCTGCGTCTGGAGCTGCTGAGCCTGGGGTTTCTCCTGCTGCTGCGTCTCGCCGGGAGCCCCTCTCTCTACAGGAGCTGCGCGAGTGGTTCGCTCGCCGCTGGAGGCGTGCTGCTGAGTCTGGAGGTGCTGCTGGAGCTGGAGCTGGAGCTTCTTCGATCGTCGAGGGTGCGGGTGCTGCCGGTCCCGGAGCTGCTGGACCTGCGGGTCCTCCTGGAGCTGGAGCTGCTGAGGGCGTTGGTGCTGAGCCTACTGCTGTTGGTCCTGCCGCTGGAGGTGTGGGTGGCGCTGGTGCTGTCGCTGAGGGTGCTGGTGCTGTCCCTGCTGAGTCTGGAGCTGCCGCGCGGCCTCAGCCGTACTTTGTTCCGCTCTTGCAGCAGGTTCTTGGTCTTTCTACTCCAGTAGAGGGTCCACCGCCTGTCCAGTCGCAGTCACTGCTGGAGCCTTCCTCTCCACTGCCTGCTCCCTCTCCTTACACTGGTCCTACTGGAGGTCTTGCTAAGCATCGTGAGCCTGCGTCTCGTCCCGCGTCGCCTGTTCGTGCTGCTCGCGCTAGTGGTCGCAGTTCGCGTCAGCGTCCTCCTCCTGTCCCTGGCACGCACCGGATGTCTTTGCGTCCGTCCACTGCTCCTCTGCGTGCCCCTTTGCCTTCTCCTCCTGAGTCCTCTCTTCCTGCGCTTGCCGACCCTGAGTCGGACTCTCTTCGTGCTGCCAGTCCTACTGTCACGCGTCTGCTTGCTACTGTCGTCACTGACCCCTCTTTTGAGTCCACTGCTGCGTCTGCTCTAGTCGCTGAGCTCGTCGACTTTGCTGCTCGCTGTCGTCTCGACTACGCTGCTAGTCTTGTTGCTGAGTCTGCGTCTGTCTGTCCTCCGTCCGTCGGGGGTGAGTGTGCTCTTGGCACGGACGTCCTAGAGGACAGGCAGGAGGAGTTACAGTGTCTAGCGGCTGCTTCACCTCATCTCGCGTCTGTACTGCTTGCCCCTGAGGGAGACCCGGATGCACTAGACATCCCGACTCCGCGTTCTTACGCGGAGGCCGTAGAGGGTCCCTACTCCTCTCAGTGGCAGGCAGCTATGGATGCAGACATGGCTTCCTGGAAGTCCACAGGCACCTACGTTGACGCGGTTCCCCCTCCTGGGGCGAACATCGTCAGTGGCATGTGGATCTTCAGGGTGAAGCGGCCACCGGGCTCTCCACCTGTCTCCAAGGCACGGTACGTTGCTCGTGGCTTCAGTCAGCGGCAGGGAGTTGACTACTTTCAGACCTTCTCTCCCACCCCGAAGATGACTACTCTTCGGGTGCTGCTGCACATAGCCGCTCAGCGCGACTACGAGCTTCACTCTCTCGACTTCAGCACTGCGTTCTTGCAGGGTAGCCTGCACGAGGAGATCTGGCTTCGCCGTCCACCTGGCTTCACTGGGACTTTCCCTCCTGGCACCCAGTGGAGCCTCCGACGGCCAGTCTACGGTCTCCGCCAGGCACCGCGTGAGTGGCACGACACACTGAGGACTACGCTTGTGGCTCTTGGGTTTGCTCCTTCTACTGCTGACCCGTCGCTGTTTCTTCGCACCGACACTTCCCTGCCGCCGTTCTACATCCTCGTGTACGTCGACGACTTGGTCTTTGCCACAGCGGACACTGCTGGACTCGCCTACGTGAAGTCCGAGCTGCTGAAGAGACACACGTGCACAGACCTGGGTGAACTGCGCAGCTACCTTGGCTTGCAGATCACTCGGGACAGAGCACGCCGCACCATTACCTTGACTCAGTCACACATGGTGCAGCAGGTCCTTCAGCGCTTCGGCTTCACGTACTCCTCGCCTCAGGCCACTCCTCTGCCTACTCGCCACTCACTCTCAGCTCTGCCTTCGGATGAGTCCGTAGAGTCGAGTGGTCCGTATGCAGAGCTTGTTGGCTGCCTCATGTACCTGATGACCTGCACACGACCTGACCTTGCATACCCTCTGAGCATTCTTGCACGCTATGTTGCTCCTGGGAGACACAGACCAGAGCACATGGCTGCAGCGAAGAGGGTATTGCGCTACTTGTGCAGTACGTCGGGCATGGGGCTAGTGCTTGGAGGGCGGAGTCCAGTGGTCCTTACCGGCCACGCGGACGCTTCTTGGGCTGACGACCAGGCTACGCAGCGGTCGTCACAGGGTTACACCTTCAGCCTTGGTTCCGGCTCTGTCTCGTGGCGGTCTACTCGCTCGTCTTCGGTTCTCGGCTCCAGTTGTGAGGCTGAGATCTACGCCGGGGCCATGGCTGCACAGGAGCTTCGCTGGCTCACCTACCTGCTGACTGACCTTGGAGAGCCGCCTCGTTCTCCTCCAGTGCTGTACGTAGACAACAAGGCCATGCTGGCCTTGTGTCGAGAGCAGCGCTTGGAGCACAGAACGAAGCACATTGCTCTCCGCTACTTCCTTGCTCGTGAGCTGCAGCAGCGTGGTCAGTTGCGACTTGCGTACGTGGCCTCTGAGGCCAACACTGCTGATGTGTTCACCAAGGCACTTGCGCCTTGTGACCATCAGCGCTTTTGCACCCAGCTGGGTCTTGTGCCTGTCTTGCCTCACTTGCTTTCCTCTTGACTTCACTTGTACTGTGACATATATATATACCTGCTCTTGCTTGTCTAGTTTTATATATATGTCTGTACTCCTGCATGTGAACTGGCCTCTGGCCCTGCTCTTGTGCTCGGCTTGTGTGGTGACTTTGTGATCCACCCTGAGCTTGCTTTGCTTTGCTTGACTGGTCTTGTGACCCCTTGTTCTCCCCCACTTTGCCTATGGGGGTGTGTCAAACATTATATATGTTATGCTTGTGTAGGCTACAATGGGTTAGCCTATAGGGGGTACACAATTCTAGGGTTTCCTACTTGTACTCATTTCACTGCTAGTTCATTCATTCCTGTTCGCTTATTCTCACACGTTCTGGGGAGTACAGCAAGAAATATAGCGAGAAATATAGTATGGGGCGACTTCTCTAGAATGTGTATGAAACTGGGTTCGTGAACCTGGGCTGAATCTGGTCGGCGGTTGGGTGAGCCTGCTCCACCTGGTTCGGCGAACGCCTTGGTCTCCACGCCAGTGGTTCTCTGTGGAGTGACCCTGTCCCATTCCGTTCCTCTCCAGTGTCATCCATGGCACATGCTACCCGCTAGGAAAGAGTCAGTGATCCAGTTAGGCATTACACCATCGTGCCATTGCTGGTAGACCTTTCTCATGTCTGCTCGTATTAAATACCGCAGTAGAGGTATCTGTGAGGCTCATTGACAATCCTGAAATCTTCAGTCTCATACGTAGAATTCTAGTTTCAACGTAGCATTTCCGCAGTGATCAGTCTCCCACCTTGACCATCATGGAGCCACTCACGCACATCCATGACCTTCCTGACGACATTCTTACCAAGGTATTTTGGCACTCTGAGCGGCTGATTCTTATACAAACGGGCAGCGTCTGCTTGTGGGACTCCAACCCTTGAATTCCCACCCTGAAGTACCTCTCCGCAAACCTTTCATTCGAGAAGACCATTCGTGAGGGGAAGAAAACCCCGTTACCCATTCCTCCTCCATCTGCGGACGTGCACCGTATTCTCTTCGTCGCGGCCGTCTGCCGTCGCTGGCGCGGTCTGACTCAGCGTTGCGTCTCCGCGCTTCTCGTCCGAGACAATCTCGCCGTGTCTCGCCAGGCTCTCGCTGTTGGGCTGAGAAAAGCCCTTAGGATCTTTGCAGGACTAAATTCCTAGTAGGACTAATGTAATAGCGGAAGCGTTTAATGAAGAGTTGTGAACCACCTTGCGCTAGTATGTGAGAGCAAAATAGATTGATTAAAACAAGGAGATACAAGATTATATAAGAGTACAAGGAATACGAAGAGATACGGTTGCAATTACTTCACTGTTGCTGTTGCGGTTCGATACAGTAACGACTCGAGCAACTGCTCTGTAACGAGTCATTTGTGTGTCCTTGCTATCGCGCTGTACTTGTCAGGTCAAAGCTCGCTGACCTTTGACTTTCGCGTAACCTCTAGCAACTGCTCAACCTCCGAGGGTTGACTCGCCGGTGCTTCGATATACTTCGCTTCGCTTCTAACTTGGTGTTTCGACACGACAGAGGCGCTTACGATTGTTTGTTTCCAACACTCGCGAGTGCTGTTGCTGCCTTACCGAACCTGACCCATCTTCACCTCTGCGACGGCAGCGTCGAGACTCTCGACGACGCCTTCCTTGCTCACCTCGCGTCGTCATGTCCCAACCTAGCCATCCTCCACGTCGGAACCAGAATCGCGCATGTGAAGTGTAAAGATTTTTATGCCGGTAAATGTGAGAAGGACGCGCAACCTATAACAACCGCTGGCCTGGATTTCTTTTTCCGGCACTGCACTCGGCTGGAGCAGCTTTCACTTTACTGCCTCGATCGTTGTGTCGAAGTCCCCGCTTCCTTCTTTCAGCTGCCGCATCTGCACACTCTCGAACTCCCAAATTTGCTAAGCTTACGTCGCTCACCAGCCTGCACCTTGCCTCCAGATATCTCTTAAAACGAGTGGCAAACATCGTTCGCCTCTCACGCATCACCGCCTTCTCAAGCTCAGATGAAGCCGTGGCATTTTACCACAATTCCCTGGTCTCTGCAGACGTCGACATGGCACAACTGCCTCTGCTCAAGCCGTCTTCTGTGGTGTTTGCCGACTTAGACACCACGCAGCTGGCTCTGCTTAAGTCGTCAAGGTTCAGGCAGGTGGTCCCGTGTGCCGCCCTAGAACGGCTCGAGATTGAAATGGAGGGTCCTGATTCCGACACTCCGAACTTTCATATCGGAGATCTGATGCCGAGTCTCCGCAAGCTGATAATTCGCCTGAGTCTGCGGCATTATGACCCTAGGCCAATCTATCTAAGCTTCGCTTCTCTAACTCTCTTGGAGAGCTTGACCCTTGCTAAATGTTACCAAAGACTCAAATTTTTGGGTTATTACGACCTTCCAGACGATATCCGATGCCTGCATGCCCTGAAGACCCTCGTGATGCACAATCTGCCACTCCTGGCCCTCCCGGACTCCCTCTGCCACCTGCCTTCCCTCAAGACGATGGTTCTTGTTGAATGAATGCACTACCAGGCCGCACCTCCTCCAGCTGCACGAAGCTTTCTGCTACCTCACGTCACTCCAAACCCTCGCCATTGTGAAGATGCCTCGGGTGAGGCTGCCGAAGAACATTGGTGAGCTCTCAAGGCTGCACACAATCTACTTGAATGGTCAGAATCAGCAGCCGCGAATGCCACTGTCATTCACCCAGCTGACTTCATTGACCAGCCTTGAACTGGCCATGTGCACGATTCAAGAGCTTCCCAAAGACATGGGGAACCTCACTAACCTGTAGGAGTTGCACATTCACTCCTGCCCTCGGATTCAGCGGCTTCCAAAGTCCCTCACAAGCCTCTCGAGCCTTGCAACCCTTACAGTTGATGAATGTTTGAAGCTCGTCTCGGTTCCCAAAAGGCTGGACAGCCTTAAGAAGCTCAAATGGCCGGAGCTGACTAGGTGTTATGATTAAACTGAGCCTCCTACGTATCTGTCGCTCTCTCTTTAGGTCTTGTCAGTAGAGCTACACTGTGAGATCCCCGATCGATCCTAAGGGGGGTTACAGGCGCGTTCGCCTGGGGGGTTATGGGCGCACTGACCCGCTACTGAAACAAGCCCTTTTATCCCAATGGTCTAGTGGTTGGGATTCTGACATGGTATCAGAGCGAAGGTCTCGGGTTCGAATCCCAGTGTGTGCACTTCGGGCATCCCAGTGCGGGGGGGTGTCAGAGGTCCACTGGTGATCCCCGATGATCCTAGGGAAGGGTTACAGGCTACTTGTCCTGGGGGGTTATGGGCGCACTGACCCGCTACTTAACAAGCCCTTTTATCCCAATGGTCTAGTGGTTGGGATTCTAACATGGTATCAGAGCGGTCTCGGGTTCGATTCCCGGTGTATGCACATGTAGGCCGGTGCCGCTGTGCTTAGTCCTGGGCCTCCCAATGTGGGGGGGTGTTAGTAGAGCTACACTGTGAGATCCCCGATCGATCCTAGGGGGGGTTACAGGCAAGTTCGCCTGGGGGGTTATGGGCGCACTGACCCGCTACTGAAACAAGCCCTTTTATCCCAATGGTCTAGTGGTTGGGATTCTGACAGGTCTTGAGTCTTGGAAACAGCTACCACGTGGCTGATCTGCCAGACGTCTCCGTGCTGCCTTGGCTGAGAAAGCTCTCCTTGAAGCTGGTTGGTGCGGAGGAGAGGATGGCTGTGGGGAGCAGGTTGGCGCGCGTGAAGCAGGTGGAGCTGGCGCTGCAGGAGGAGGCTGTGGAGCTGCCCTTCTCCCTTGTGCTGCTCCCCCAGCTGCATACGCTGGTCATGTGGAACGTGGGGAAGATGCAGCGGCTTCCAAGCGACATGGGATGGGCTGTGCCGCAGCTGAGGGTTCTGCAGATCCACTGCGCGCGAGAATTGAGGGAGCTGCCGGACAGCATTGGCGCTACATCCCGCCTGCACCAGCTGCACCTCTTTGAGTGCCCCGCTCTGCACCACCTGCCCGCTTCCCTCACCCAGCTTGCATGCCTCCACCAGCTGCATGTGGAGAACACAGGCCAGCACTGCCTTCTTTCAGAGTTTGCTCAACTGACCCGGCTGCGCAGTTTTAGGGTGTGTCAGATCTGCTAAAAGTTGTTCTGGCTGGTTTTTAGTCAACCATATTGTCGACAAAATCTTTCGCGAAAGCCGACCACGTGGTCAACTTCGTAGTCGACCACCCATCGGCCACATCTTCAAAACAGACACATTTGGTGGCCGATTTACAGGGATGTGTCAGATTTGCAGTTGAGTTTTTGCGATTTTGTCGCATGATTGTCAATAATTGGTAATTTCGTAGTTACCATGTGCCGTTTTATCGCACACGTGAGCATGCAAAGTCGTATGGTCACTGTAGCTCAGCCTGGTCGAATTTCGAGTCGACTGCAAGTCGGATTGTTGTCGACTCTTGAAACGGCCAACGGATCTGACAACAAGTGGCCGAATGTGGCGAGGTAGCCGAAATTTACAGACGAACGTCGCAACACCGTTACTTTCGCGAAATCCGACCAGTTGGATTATCGTGAAAATGGATCTGACACACCCTTAGTGTGCGTGGCTGTGTGCGGTTGGAGGGTCTGCCAGAGGATCTTCCAGATCTGAAGATGCTGCGACTATTGAGTGTTGGAAATTGCAACAAGAATGTGTGCCCTGGGTGGAACGAAGTTCTGGAACCTCGTGGGCTCGAAGATATGTATGGAGCCGTTATTAGTGGTAGAATCGCATGGCCTGGCTATTTGTGCTGGGAAGAAGTTTATGTTCGACACTGAGAAACATATCGTAGAATGTGAATGAAGTGTAAAAGTTTGGTACAAATAACCTAACCCTCATGTAAGCTACCCAACTCTAACAACGTAAAACATGTACGGTAGGATTTGTGACACCCCCTAGCCTAGATTAGGGGCACCCAATGTACCATATTCTCCCGGAAAAACCACCCCCCCATGATAGAGCACCCCCGGGTAGCTTGTGCGGGGTGGGTGCTATGGGCAACCTCGTTTTTACTATACCCTCCTTTTTGGCTGATTCTATATAAGACCCTGGGGGGGTGTTATAGTCGGAAAAAAACGATAGCTCATTTAATATCATACACGTGACATTATAGGAACTACAGAAGTACAGCGCTTGCACCTAGACATTGTCAATGTCACCTAGACTGCAGCTCCATAGCCACAACATCACCACATACTAGACATCCCCATGCTTTTTACTTAGAATCGTCCCCTGCCTACCACTCTTCACACTCTTCCCCGTCATAGCGGCCAGGGCGCCACCATTCGTCATTGCTGGGCTCTTCTGCCTGCCTGCATTCTTCAAGCATGAACCCTTCCTCCTCTGCCGCCGCCGCCTCCGCGTCCTCCTCGGCGGCGTCATCCTCCTGTGCCGCCGCCTGCAGCTCCTCGGCCAGCATGGGGACTTCAGCGTAGAAGGGGTTGACGACGAGATCGTTGTCAACCAGGTCGTTGACATTGTCAAGGACTTCCACCTCACCCTTGGCCCGCATGTGGGCAAGGATGAGGTGGTCCTCGCTGCCATCGACGGGGGTGGCGATCCCACACGTGACGAACGCCTTCTTCATGAGCTCCTCTGGGATTGCTTCCCACGACTCATCGATCCAGCGAAGCACCAACTCCGCTGGCGGCTTCTTGAGATTGCCAGAGGGACGGGGAAAGGTAGACAAGGACGAACGTGAGCATACCGAGCGCACGCTGACACGGATTCAACGGAAACCAAGCGGATCTTAGGGCTTCAACTCACCAGCCTTGGTGGTGAGGTTGATTCCCTCTTCTTCAAACCAGACACTGTAGCGATGACGCACACCGCACTTGAACGCGCGGCTCACCAACATATCTAGAAGCTGCACCAGCGGTGTGCAGCCCCTTGGGATGACAACTTGGGACAGCCAAAACATCCGCATGGTATGCCCAACCGCCTCGGTCAAATGGCCGCGGTAGGAGTCGAGCACAACCAAGCCCTCCATGTGGCGTCCGTTTGTGTCACGTAGGGGCTTCAGAAACGGCACCATCACATGGATGATCCAATCCTGCATCAGGGCTTCGTCCATCCAACCTTTTCTTGTGCACGGATCACCACACCTGCCAAACAACACAAGAGCGCCAGATTCAGTTGCGACATTAGACAAGGAAGAGCACGGACAACATCGTAATCGTGTATTGCTTACCGGCAGGGATGGCCACCTTTGGGATGGTCTTGCGCTTGAAAACCATTCACGGCGGAGGTTTGAGCTCGCTCGTTGTTACTGCCAGCATGACAGTAACATGATCCTTCTCATAGCCCGCACTCTGTACGTGGACCGTGCGCGCTCCCTTCATCTTGAGCCTGCGCTCCGCCAGCATCTCCAGGAAAAGCGGCATTTGGTCCGCGTTCACGATGAGGTCGAGAGGGTAATCATGCAGAGAGTGCATCTAGCGCACGAAATCCCAAAACGACTCCACCTTGGCCTTGCAATATGCGAGCAGAGCAACGAGAAGCATTAGCTAAACATTGCCACGGGTTACCCCTTGCATTAGCTTCTTAATAGCCGAAACATTGGCACATTCTTCACTTACCCGCTGCCAGCTTCTGTCCCATCTTCGTCTTCACCCGCCTCGCCAAATGCCAGCGTGCGCGGAAATGAGTCGCCTACCGGAACGAAGCGCGCCAGTTGCCTACAGGCATCCTGTGCTTCATGTACTTGGCGCTCCACTTCTGGAGCATGCTGACCGTGACGGCAAGGCCCTCCGCCCGGTGCTTCAGGACCTGGCGGTAGACAGCCCGTTCCATGAACGGGTACTTGGAATTGCGCCCGTGCCCCATGAGGCGACGGCGGTTGTTGGAAGCGACCTCTAGCCGCTCCCTCAACTTCTTCCATTCGTGGATCTGGCAGAGCTGCACGCGCGCGAGTTTTGCCAGCGCGCGATTAGAGAGGTCGGGCTGAGAGTCCTGCATCTTCAACCAGTGGAGTTTCTCCTTTGCGGTGATGGCATTCCGCTGGCGTTTCGTCATGCGGTGGCGAGGACTTGGCGGTGTAGCATCAGCATTGCGCTTGATGTGTCCCTGCGGGCGGTTACACTCAGGAAAGGTGGGGACAACCACTCGAGGAAGGGTGGGGCGAGGATGTTCAGAGCTAGTGCTCGGTTCATCCCACACAGAAGCACTACCGGGAGCATCCGGCTGGGGCACGATAGGGCGAGGAGACGTCCGTGCGCATGCAGCAGCGCCAGTCTGAATGGTAAAAGGGCGCTGCCGCCTATCAACGGTATTCCTAGAGTCTGGAGATGACACCATGCTTGTGAACTATAGGGGGATGGTGTTTCTCGGCATGGCGGACGAGATTTTAAACTAGAAAAAATGAGCACAAGAAGGAGTCGCTCTTATAGCCAGTCCAGCTCTTGTAAAAAACGTGCACTGGAGCTGCTTGACCGAAGGGAAGCTCAGGGCCATGTAAGGAGGCCTAGACGTGACCAAACGGATGTCAAGAGGTCACAGGTGCAGTGACCTCTCAGCACCGTGCGCGACTCGGGCCATGTAAAGCACCGTATTATGCATGAACCCAAGCTGCGCGAGGTTGGCAACTTGGCATTGCTGTCATCGAAGCTGCCTTAGTTGGCCCACTGGAACCTAGCTATGTGGCAGATTCCAGTGGGGGGTGACGTAATCCTCGACGACTCGGTTTTGCGCCCCCGTTCAACAAACTAAGAGTGAGGACAGAATACTGTTTTTGTTTTCATTCTTTTCTGTTTAAAAAACAATGTGCTATATAATAAGACCCGGGTATTATGTAGCTTTTCCCTATGAAAAGACACCCCCCTTTTTTTCCCTGTATTTTTTAATCTACCCTAGGGTGTTATGTCCGGGAGAATACGGTACAGGGGTACTGTTAGTTAATGCCCCGTTGACTCACGTGTGCTCCCCTATGTTGTCATGGACCCTACTGCGATCTACAGTCTCCTGTCTCGACTCTTGTTGCTGCTGAGAAAGTGTGAAGGAGAATGAGTGAACTATGAACGAAGTGAGTACAAATAGGAAACCCTAGTTGGGTTGTACCCCCTATGGGATACCCCACTATAGCCTACACAAATAAGTAAGCTATAATATTCTGACAGCTGCCGCCACTAACTTTGCCGCCACCGCTTGGTGGCTGCTCATCCTACCCGTCCTCTATCCGCTGTGTCCTCTTGGCTGTGAGGTCATTGAGGACATCAAATATGAGTTGGAGTTTTTTGCGATGACTTCACCACATACTGCTAGCCCCTGAGGGAGACCCTAGTGCTCCAGACATCCCGACTCCTCATACATACTTACGCTGAGACAGTGTCGGGACTTGGGACAGTGGGCCTTTTAGTAAATAGCAGCCATTGACGAGGTTGCCCCATTGCAACGTTCCCACTGTTGCGACTCTCGCCAATGAGGACGCGGTAAAAGTGCGATTATCGCAGGATTGTGCTTTTATATTGATCTGCACACGAAACGATGCACCCACGCCCTTTTTACGATCGCCCCTGATTTTTGGGTAGGATGTTTCAGAAGCAAAATTTTAGACTTCTGCGCGACACCAGCACAGAAAAACATCTGTTGTCCAATCCCACCTGCGGCATTCGAAGACTACAGAGCAACCAACCTGGCGAAGTGAACTTTACCCACTGGAACCGTGAATTAAAAAATTTTGAGGATTCCAATTCGCTGCTCTGCGAAATTACAACAATTTGCAGGCATCGGGATCAATCATGCCTGTTGTGCTCGATTCGTGAACGTCAGCCGCGCTTTGATGCCTCGGACTGATCTTGCGTGATCAATGATCACTCACATTTCTTTACTATGCACAAATTATTGACAAAAACCTTACTGGAGCATGGTTACATGCTAGTAGACCGGGTAACCAGTCCGCACACCGACTGTGATAGACGATTGATCGTCTACTTTTACCGCTTCCTGAGCATCGTAAAAAGAGTGACGAAATTCTTAAACCCATCGTGAAAAGAGCGACCGAAAGAGTGACTGGATAAGACAAGAATTGGCGTCGTACGTAGAATTATGCGACTTGGGACTTGGTGTTGTGATAGGTGATGTGTTGCTACCCAATTTGCAGCATG